TCAGAAGTCAACTGTCGGTTTATAGACTTTTGCCGTATGAATATACTTTGCCCAGGATGCACCATGTGAAAGTAAGTCTATCGAGCACCCCGTGTTCCTTAACTAGGTCATTCTTTTTTTCAACTTAGAGTTACTGTTTTACTGGAGCTGTTTTGACTGTAAATATTGATTTAGTCGTTATGTTTTGTTTTACCTTTCAGAGGATATTTCATTTTGGGAGACTGTCGAGCGTTTCAACGCCAATGTGGCTTATAGCGGTTTGGTGCATTCTGTTAGCCAAGATGTGAGTACAAATAGGCAATTTGTTTCTATAGCTCTCTCTCTACTCTCAACAAAGCATTGAATTCCTGTCACTTTTCAGGGTATTTTTGTTGAAAAGAAAGAGAAGTTAATAAAAGACGCACTTATTGCCCTGCTCACACGAAATACTTCGATGCAGACCCCAGTAATAAATGCCAGTGAATTCATGGGTCAGAGGGGTATTCCGGATCGTGAAGTTCGACTACAGCTAGAGGAAGCAAGATTCCAAGCAATTAGGCGTCTCGTAGCGTCGAAAGCTGGGTTTGAATCCTTCACTCAACTCTCTGGGTATGTAAATCGAAATTCTTTCTTCTTCTTATTTTTCCTTATCAGTATATTTTACAATCACCTTTTTTCCCATAGGGTTCGAGAAAATCTTGGCCGTGCAGTTATCACCGCGTTGGCACAGAATGATGACTCTCTAACCCATGCTGTTATTGACGCTGTAAATACGTTGATGCAACCCATGCATGATAATCCTGATTTGAGACAGGAGCAGTTGAATAAATCATCAATCATGTCCAGTGCTCCTTTTATGCGTCAGCTTGTCAATCTATTCACTCTTCACTCTGTGAGTTAACGCTTTAATCCATGCTATACTTAAATGGGTTAATTAGTTTAATTTTTTTCTCATCCTTTTTATCAGCTTCGTTGCACGGGTTCCCTTGTCATCTCAGGCCTACTGGATTTTTTTACGTATGCTCTCTGTCTGCCCTATTCAGAGACTTCTGATGGACAGTCCTTTGAAGTTCTTCTTGCTTTAGTAGCTTCACGTGGTCGTGCTCTCTTCCGTCTATTCACTGTAAATGTCTACTTTATTGTTGTAAGTAGCTTCTCAGCTGAATTGTAGAATATTTTAATTTTAATTTTAGCATCCCAGTCTGACGATTGTTAAGGGTGCGGGTTTGGTGATGCGTGCGTTGATTGACGAAGCCTCCGAGGAACTTGTGGCTCAACTGCGACAAATGGCTCTGGTCGAGGGAGCCATTTTGCAGCATATTTCTATTGCCTGCTTCACGGCAGCAGACTCAACGACTGCAGATCCTAGAAATCTTGTTCTGAGACAGCTTTCCCGCCAACTTATTGCTTTGTGGACTGATAATAATGCACAAGCGCAAGACCTACTTAAACGAATCTTTGTAAGTTTTTTTACTGTTGGAATTATTATTATATCGTTTTGTATCGTATACGTTATAACAAGTATCGTGACAGGTTGTTTAACTATGATATCCGGTGGATTCAAGTGTTTGCATTCTAGTGCTAACAAAATAATTTGTATTTGGTTGAATGGGTGTGTTCCATGGATAGAGTAGCCTTTCCATGCTATTTTCATTCCAGCTTCTAGGATCCTAGGCATTAGCAACTACTTTAATCAAGGTCATATTAAAGATGAAGTTGAAGACACATCCCTCACTTTTGTTTGATTTTTTCCTTCCTAATCTCAGTTGAGTTGTAGAAAGAGGGACTAATTAGGCTCAAAATAAAAGATTTGGCATTCTAATTGTATCAAGAAGTCAAATCAAACGTTAGATTTCCTATTAAATAGGTACTGACAAGTGTACATCAAGGACTTGCGTATCTCCATACTAGCTTAACTAAACACTATAATCCGCTATTGATACTGTGGATGAATATCCTAACGTTTTATTCTTAGCCCGAAGGTCTGCTCTCTTTCCTTGAATCTTCCGACCCTCCACCAGAATCCGAGAAAGACTACCTTTTTGTTCGAGACAACTTTCAGCTTGCTCAGGTATGTATTTCCTCTTTTCCACTGTCACGGTAAGCCTTATAGGAGCACGTTTTGCGAGTTCAAAGCAAGAAATCTGAGCCCTTGTACATACTTCAAGAGCGCGTGGATGGTTTTCTTCAGCACTGGCGTGTGAAAGTTGGTCTCAATCCACGAAAAGTAACGTTTCCCCTTTTATATTACCATATTCTCCACCTATAGGCTTCAACGCCAAATATTGAAGATAAGCCGGTCTCGCTGCGTCTGACTCGACAAATGCGCATTAAATTGGGTACGCCAGACACGCATGTGAATGGCAAACCAGCGGAACTGCCTCAAAATCTCAATTGGCCTCTCTTTTACTATCACTTTCATCGCGATCATGCTAAACCGGACCTGGTTTGGAACCTCCGGGTTAGTCCTTGACTTTTTCCCCCATTTGATCTCTTCTGTGTGAAAGATTTTTAACGGGCTTACCTCAAATGCTTATTTTTGATATTGCCGTTTCTTTCTCTTAATGCCATTCTTCTCATCCTGCTGTGTTGACAAACCCCTCACAACACCATATATAGATTGGCCAAGAGGTCCAAGAATACTCTTGTTGGTAAGGCAAGGGAGAGTTAAGTAACTAAAAGGGTTTGAAATTATCTTAGCAGCACAATACTCACTGTGAATTCAACTGGGTGATTCCTTTATTCATGAATCGATAATCTTTTACATTCTAGACCCGAGATGAACTGAGAGACGCAATCGAAAAAGAAATGGGTGAGTATCGTCGTGAATGCGAGTACTTCTCTCACTCACGTCTGGAGGAGGTAGATGAGTCCGACACTCTTCAAGATCCGGACACTCTCGAGAACGGTGAAACCGAAATCGCCACTGAAGCCTCTGACGTTACAATGGAGACCAAATCTTCTTCGCCTACTGAGACCGCAAGGGTAGAAGGCCAAGAAGTGGGGAGGTCGAATGAAACTGTCGCCGATGACTCTCCATTTGATAAAAAGAACCCTTTGGAGAGACAAGTGGCCCGTCTATTGTCTCAAGTAAATGGAGTGTCGTGGAATCACTCTGAGTTTCGAGTGAGATATCATAGCCTGGCTGGCGAACCTCGGGTTGGAAATTACTTCCTTCGCCTACTTCTGGAAGAGGATAAGCGTCTTGCTTCAGCGGATTCGAATTCCACGGGTGATGCTTCGAAGATGGGCTTATCGAGAATTAAGAACAGGTATGTAGTCATCAGCAAAATTTGAGCTTACTCGTTCGCTACCCATCAAACCACTTTTAGATATTTGGTCATTAAATAGTAAGTGGTTAGTTGATAGTTTTTTGCTAAAATCTCGGCAATTCAAGTATTGTGAGCACTTTTAATGTGGGTGGAAAGTTTTTCTATCGCTTTATTTATGAACTATTGATTTAGCGTTAGATGGGGTTTACCGTGAAAGGCGGTGATCGTTGGTCCCTTGTTCAACCCGCATATCTACTGGAGTGGTACCTAATAGCAAAGAAGGGAATAGATTTCGATCTCTTCCTAAGGACTTCTCCGGTATACGTTATGGAAATTTAAATAATTTTATAGTTCTCCAAGATCCACTTGAAACTTTTTCCTATTTCTACCCTCGCGGTTTCTTAAGATTATATGGCCATAGGGTTCCCATGGTTACTGTAGTTGATTCAACCTTGCATTTTTTGGTAAAACAAAAGTATATAAGTTAATGCCTCTCTTGACCAAGATAAAAGAGGTTCTATGTGAATACACGAAGACAAATTAATATTATGTTTTCATTCCACAGTATTGAATGCAGAATATCATGATTGTAGACACGTTAACCGCTTAGTACTTCACAACAAGTGTCGAAAGTGTTCGCCATGAATCCTGATACGCAACTGAGCACGCCTCAGCTTGTCTCCAACATTGTATTCGGGCAGTGAAGCTTACGTCATCTTATTAGAGCCATTTATTTTATACCTTTGGTGTTATACTAATTCTTTTTGCTACTTCTCTTTTCTAGCCGAGAGTTCTTCAGCGAACTATTCCGTCGTTACCTTCAATATACTGCAGCCTTGGGAACAATGAGTTCAGCCACTATACTAGGTGGAGGAAGACTTCCTCGTGGGAAGAAGGGTACTCATGGGAGGAGACAAGGCAATCAACTCCTCTCTATGCGTTGCCTCTGCCTGAATGCCATGACAATTGTCTATGGAAGGTGTCATGAGGAAATAGGAGCGGTTTCAGATATTCCCCTGTTGGTACACCTTCTGGATAGAACACCCTCAGCTGCTGAACGAGATTGCTTGATACAGTTGTTGGAAAAGTTGGTTGTGAACAAGGTTAGTGTGCTATTTATCCTCTATCCTAGCTGATAAAAGTCGAGAGATTATGGAGTTAAATTGGGGTAGGTGTGGCTCTCAAGGTGAAGTACAACATATTTTGCTATTCATTTTTAAATGGCCTTTGCTCGTCTTGGTTGTAGCTGTTTATTCGGACCCGAAGTTATAAAAGGAAAATGAGATTGATGGTGTATGGTGTATGGTGATCAATTCTCTATTTATTTAACAAAGTTAGGAGTCCGTATAATTGGGAATGAGGGGCTCTCAAAGCACATAAAGTTTTTTGGTGATTACCAACTACTTGACTAATTTCTATGTCTGTTTATGCTCTCATCATCTCTAAAGAATCGGCTGCAGATTCCCACGTATCGTCCCTCTAATGTAAAATTTTCTCATAATTCCGACTTATTATCAGTTTCGGATTTTCCTTTACGAAACGGTTTTTTGTTGTTTGTTTTTCTCATTCGCTTGATGGCACAGAAAAATTTTCTTAAGCTTCAAAAGTTTACACAATTCAATGGTGTTTGTACTTTTATCTTTAAAGCCCTACTGTGGTTGGCTAGATTCGCAGTTTGTGAGAAACATTGTCTTAATTGATTGTTACTAACGCAAGTGGAAATGGAAGGTCATGCAAGGTTATTAAAAATGGAAATATCTCCCAATCTTCGTAAAGATAGGAAGCAGCCATCTCGCCCTGATGGCAACAAACTACCTTTTGATTGACAGCCTTGGACATAAGTATATTGCCCTATCTTGTTAATGGTCACTGTCTTTCTATAATTCCGCCTCCCAATTGGTCCACGTTCTGTGGAGATATGTGTGTGCTTCTCTCTGTGTCAGCAAGGTTACAAACCTTTTTCTCACATACTTTGATCTTATAGTTAAAGAAGGTCGATTTTGTGCAGGGTTAAACCTTTTCTTGAGTTTTGTTAATCTGAATAAAGCCCCCAAAATTAATAAATAAAAAAATCACTCTCAGTGTTTTAATGAGAAGTATCGCCTGGAACCCTTAGGAGATACCTATGCATTCTTTATTATCCCTTTCCAGTACAATGCTGACGAATTCATTGAGGCTGATGGTGTACGGGTTGTCACAGACCTGGCGTGTCTCTCATATCTTCACACTTCACGAGCCCCTGTTCCCACAGCAACCAACGTGCTCAAGGGCGACAGTGAGAATCCGGACTCTGCTGAGGGTGGTGGAGCAACTCAACCTGAATGGTGGTATTGGAAAACTGGAGACCCCAAGGGTTCATCTGAGGGCCCATTCACATTTGCAGAGGTATTTTTCCTTTCTTAACTTAACTGCTCTTACAGTTAAGTGTTTAGACTTTTGATCGAGTTGGGTCTCCTCTCTCTTGAACCACTTTTCTTAACATAAAGGGCTGTCAATATATTAGGATTAGTAGGTACAAAACTTTTTGGTGGAGCTCTGATGAATCTAATTCACATTTTCAGTAAACAAATACTCGCATAACTTTGTCTAAAACTGGCATTATTTCACCGATTGCGAAGTCCGAGGTCACGAATACGGCATGATGACAGTGGTGAGCATTTCTTAACAGTTTGAGAGTTATTGGGGTCGTTAATTTTTATCTGTGGTGGCATTTCAACTTCTAACCACCAATACATAACCATATATATATTTTTATCTAGTGAATATTCTTTGAAGTAATCGTGTTACCCAATTATCTGTTTCATCTCATTTGAATCTATTGTAGTTTCTCAATATCTAGTACTTTGATAATACATATATTTCCTTCAAACTCCCTTTTCTTATCCTTTCAGATGCGTCAAAAATTCTCAGACGGTACTCTTGCACCCAATACTTACGTCTTCGCTCAAGGTTTGGACAGCCATCCCCGTTGTCGTATCGAGGGCGTCTTCATTGACATGGATGGTGGCGAGGAGGAGGAGGAGGCCAAAATTTTCGGTTCCTCGAGTTTCACCGGCTTTGGTGCCACGACTTCTGCTGGTGGGTCAAAGTCGCCCTCTGCTTCAACTCTCGGTTGGATGCCTGCTAATAGAGTGCCCCAACTTCGATGGTCTGTGCCCCGTCTTCTCTATGGTGATGACTACGAGGAAGAATCCTCTGAAATTTCTGATAAGGATAAAGAGAAGCATAGTGGAGATGACTTGATTGCTAAACTGGGCTTTAGCAAAGGCGCAATGTTGGATCATACCGCCCTAGCTATTCGATGTGTGGAAGTCCTGACACGGTTATGTGAAAGCAGTGCTTCCAGAGATGCTTCTACAGGGGGCATTATTCGACCACTGCCTAGGCCAAGGCGAACTATTTCTAGTCTGTTTAACCTTCCCCACATTGTACAACTTCTACTGACCTTTGACCCACCACTCGTTGAACGCGTCTCCAACCTTCTTCTTCATGTGATTGATCAAAACCCCTGCCTTCCCCGAATTTATCTAACTGGAATATTCTTCTTTATCCTTATGTACACTGGAAGCAACGTTCTCCCTATTGCCCGTTTCCTTAAGGCCACTCATCTTCTTCAAGCTGAAGAGACTTCTGAAACAGGTCTTCCCTCAGTACTAAGCAAAATTCTCCCAGAGGCTATGATTGCATTCCTCGAGAATCATCCTCCAGAAAAGTTTGCTGAGATCTTTTTGGGTAACTTTGACACACCTGAAGCCATTTGGAGTCAAGAAATGCGGTGAGCGAAAATTTAAGTACCATTCTACTAATTCCATTTAAGTGGTTATCGATCGAGGATCTTTTTCCACTTAGACAGTTCATGATATCGAGGATTGCTGCGCATTTGGCCGACTTCACTCCGCGGTTAAAGAGCAATGTTCGTGCCATCTATCATCACATTGGCATTCCTCGAATTGTCTACTCTCAATTAGAGGGTGAATTGTTTTGCAACCGGTACTACCTTCGTCATTTCTGTGATACCAATCGTTTCCCTGACTGGCCTATTAAAGACCCGGTAGGTTTGAAACACACCCTCTTCGCGCCCTTTCTATTGTGAAGTTGATATAAACCCTACTCCATTGTAGATCACTCTCCTGCGTGATATTTTGAGACTTTGGAGAACTGAGACCGAAAAGAAGCCTTGTCGAATCACCTATGAGGATTCCCTGAAGGAGCTGGGTTTAGACGCCAGTCAGCTGAATGAGTGCGTGTTTCAGTTGAGCTTTGTGATTTTTTTATATTTAGATTAAAGCGCTAAAGTTTTTAGAGTCTGTATGTAAATTGCTAATGTTTGCTTGCATTATCTTCTTAATTTTAAAATCAGCCTATTTATTCTATTAATAATTTGCGAAATTGCATGTTGTCGATTAGTTAAATTTAGATTTCATATAATAGGAATCGATCTAGACAAGCTTAGCGGGTATTCAATGGTTTCAGCAAAATGAGTAATAAGAATTAAGTTCATGTAATTCCGGAGTGTAGTAGTCATTGCCATTTCTTGTTCAGATATCAGAAACTTGGCTAAATGGTTATTATGTTTCGTGATTTTCAATCGCCTCCTATGTGTTTGAAGAAGGATTTATTGTTGCCGAAACCATAATTACTTTAATGTGCCAAATCAACGAATCTCATACCAAACCTGCCACCTGATAAATTCTTGTCTTTTAAATCCCCACGCTTCTTAGACAATAAGGAAGGAAACGCTTTTTCCAAGTTCCATGTTTTCTTTGTTTGGTAGTAGCAGGCGATGTATTTAACATTTTTCCTAATACTTCCATTTCTTCTATTTTCTTTATGTTGCCTTTTTTCAGAATATTGAATTGTTGTTGTATCGCTTTTGCCTATTTAATTATCGTTTCCCTAGATCCAATCAGGAAGCGAGTATTCGTCGTGCCTACTACCAACTCTCTATGAAATATCATCCGGACAAGAATCCTGATGGTCATTCTAAATTCCAAGCTGTGAAGGCAGCATACAACTTTCTCTGTGAGCGAGGTCTCCATTCGGACGGACCAAATCGTCGGCACATTCAACTCCTCATACGATCTCAAAGTATACTCTACTCTCGTTATCGTAAAGGTTCGTTTTTCATCTCTCCAGATAGTTCATTCTCGTATCAAATGCCATTTCAAAACTCCTATTTTACAAATAGCACCATATAAGTTATTGTACCGCCGATTAGATTTGGAACCTGACCCTCAAGGTGTTTAAGCATGATCCCTTGGAATAGTTGAAACGTTAATTTAGAGTATCTCTTTTTCTGAAGATTTTTAATAATTGCCAGTTGGAGTGTATATGGCAATAAGCTCTAAAGCCAACATCTCAGGCTACTATATTACCTATCCTAATCAATCCCAGATCAGATAACTTGAAAGTTAGATAGATATCATTAGCCATTTAGCTGACTTCGGGCTTCACAGAGGGAAGGTTCATCAAAGTAGCAGAAAGTCGAAAGGTGGGGTACAGAAGAGCGATTCACAGATATAAAAGAGGTAGACAGACACAAAGGTAGAGAAAAAGGTAAGGTGAGTACTGTGAAAGGGGTCGAATATGACAACCAGGGGAGGTCGTGGTAGTTTGATGTCAGAAGTCAAATGCCGGTTAATAGGCTTTTTTGCCGTATGAGTATACGTTGCCCAGGATCCACCAAGAGGAGGTAAGTCTATCGCTCACCCCGCATATTTTGTCAGATAAATCATAAACTATTGGGTTGGCAACTAAGTCGTTGCCGTTTTTGTTGACATTCACTCTATACTTTCTT